CAAAATTTGGATGATTTTGAATATTCACTTGAAAAGTTATCAAAGAAAAACATTTTTCATTTTGTAACTTCGAGGGCCCGTAACTTGGTTACGAAGACTTTTAGGAAAAAAAGTTATATGAAGTACTGGTGATATTTTGACCCCATCTATACATTCCCGAAAGGAAAAGAGGAAGTCCAGGGACACCCTGTATGTTAAAAATATGTTAAAAAACATGTTTTTCCGTTAACCAGCTGGCGCACCTCTACGAACGACAACCCTCAGAAGTCGAAACTTGTGTGAGCTAATGACTAATGACGTCTCACCTTTCAACGTGTGATTCCTTACACGTGTTAGATGATAGCAAGTGAAAATCGATCATTCAGCCTGCGGCTTGAACCACCGACTCACACATCAGTCGATTGAGAGAGTGAAAGTGAAAGCACCCACTGACGGATACTTTCGATTCTCATTTTACGTACACCCCTAAGGGTTAGTTGCTCTTCATTTCACTACACAGTTATGTTACAATATCATCAATAGATGAAAGATAAAAAATCGCAACTGCTCAACATGCTCTGGAATAGGATTGCTAGATGTTACTTCTTCATTGAATCAGTCTATGAACTGGCATGCTTTTTATCTAGCATAAAATTATTGATGAAAAATATATAGACTACGAATAATTTGAATTCGTGAGTGCACAATTTTGACTTTGCAAAAAACGTACTCGAAAGAAATTTCTGCTACAGCTAGTTTTATAGAAATGGTTTCGTGACACATTGGTTTTTTTAGCTAAAGTCTTATAACCCATAATTTTCAAGTTATTAAACTTGATAGATGAATTTGGAAGTGAATAGACATTTACTCCATATTGATTTGGAATTTACTGAACTTATGTGGGAAATTCACACAAATGTATTTCATAAGGCTCCCTAATTATCAATTTTGGAAAGTACTCCATCCTCAGTAATCACCAATTGATTTTAATCAGTTTACTATGGAATCATAAGTATCATTGAGTCAAATTATAGTTTACCAAGAGTTGTTCATCTTTGGACGCGATATCAATATTGAAATCTCTTCCTAAAATTGAAGGCAACGTATGATAGTTTTCTCTTAATTCTTCAGAGCTTACTCGACCGTAAATGTGTGCTTGCACCTTTTCTCTCTCACTCTTTCTTGCCCCTACAGTAATTCACGAACAGTAAATCTCTCTTTTCCTATCTTCACTAACTTACCCCTCCCTCACAATTTCCGTTCGCCGTTACGTAACGCTCTCGTCACGCATTCAACTTCAGAAAACAACATCTGGAAATGAAATATTTTTTGTCACATCCAACAAACGCTAAATTGAACTTATCTATAGAGTATAATCAACTATCCTATCAGATATTACACTCATTTTTCTGGTTTAACTGCTGAAATTCAAACCAATCTCTGAATAATGAACTGAGTCAAAGGAAACTTAATAGAAATAAGGTGCGTGACAAAAAATAACAAACATGATGAATGAAGTATGTTAATTACTTTTCTTGCCGGATGTTTATAGTAACGATTATTTGATTACTGGATTTTTAATTATGGAATATAATTTTTGAATCATATCTGTTATATGTGATATTTCAAAATTGAATATCTAAATTCGATTGGAAAATTTCATGACTGTTCCAATTGTGTCAATGGTAGAAATAGTAAGGAACACATACGGTTTATGATGGTTTGTCTATATAAATATAATACAAATATAATGAAAACATACTACAAACATACTATTTTCCGGAGGCTCTCAAAAAAGCTATTATCATTCCTGAGCATAAATAAGGAAGTCCAACGAACATTGAGAACTATAGACAAATTTTACTCCTGAATTCAATTTCCAAACTTTTCGAAGAAGTAATTGCAGTCAGAATAACGAATTATTTGGAATATAATAATATACTGTCTGATTCACAACACGGATTTCGGAGAAACAAATCTATCGTATCACTTACTAAGCCACATACATGATGAAATAAACAAAAACAACTGTGTTCTATCTTTATTTTTCGACTTATCCAAAGCCTTTGATATGGTGTGTCCTGAGTTTCTTAGCCGTAAGTGAGTGAGAGAAATATGATAGTCAAGTGTAACGGGACATCCTCTACGGCCAAATACATTGAACTTGGCGTACCTCAGGGCTCGGTACTAGGTCCACTACTGTTCCTCTTATATATCAATGACCTACCCCAAAATATAGTAGATGCTCACCTAACAATGTTTGCTGATGATACTACCATAACTGTTTCTGGAAATAATGTTGAACAACTCATCAGCAAATCAGACATCATAATCGATATATTCAGTGCATGGTGTCAAAGAAACAAACTTATTTTGAACACGAACAAGTCTNAGAAGTTGCAAATACCTTCAAAACGATGGAACAAAACTATTCAAACGAAGTTCTTATGAATTTGTTTATTATTTTTGGACAGTGTGACAAAATTATCAGCAGAACATGTAGAAAGTTCAATGAAATGTATCCGAATCTTTCGCCAATGAACCTCAAGAAATTTATACGAATTCAGAACACTGGTAAATGATTGTATAATTTGATGGCCATATAGCGTGGATCTCGAGTTATTTCTAGTAAAGTGCTCATGTATGTTTTTATGAATTGTTCTTCATTGTCATAAACGAAAACACAAACATTAATATAAATCCCATATAAAGTAAGTAATTTATTACTTTTGAAAATATTACGATAATAATCTGTAAAGTTCATGTTAAGCATTGTCTTTATTATACGTTTTTGCATAATCCATGATATCCAGATGAGTACTTCCACTCCAGAACATAACTCCGTATT